TAATACAGGGATTGAACCCAAAGACTCAATTTATCCTGTTCTTTTTTATCATAGAGGCAAGTACTACCACTGAGCTACATCTTCTTGTCCTTTTTTTTTTTTTTTTCAGTTGTAGACAGACACATACCTTTATTTTTATGTGGTGCTGAGGATCAATCCCAGTGCCTCACATGTGCTACAACCCAAACCCTTTTTATTTGTTATTTTTTAGATAGGGTTTTGCTAAGTTGCCCAGGCTAACCTTGATCTTGTGATCCCCTGTTCTGGGTAGCAAGGATCACAAGCACTATCACTCTACCTTAATATTAAATTTTTTTTGTAAGTGCTGGGGATTGAACCCAGGGTTTTGTGCATGTAAAGCAAGCACTCTATCAGCTGAGCTATGGCCCCAGCCCCCTGTATCATTAAAAAATATATATTTTTTTAGTTGTTGATCTTTATTTTATTTACTTATACATGGTCCTGAGAATAGAACCCAGTGCCTCACACATGCCAGGCAAGTGCACTACCGCTGAGCCACAGTCCCAGCCCCCATATCATTAAAAAAAAATGTTTTTGAAGTTATGTATGGGCAGAATGCCTTTATTTTATTTGTTTATTTTTATGTGGTTCTGAGGATCGAACCTAGTGCCTCATGCATGCTAGGCAAGCGCTCTACCACTGAGCCACAACCCCAGCCCCAAAATGAATTCTTTTTAAAAAATATCTTTATTTAATTTATTTATTTTTGTGCATTGCTGAGGATTGAACCCAGTGCCTTACACAGGTGCTAGGCAAGCACTCTACCACTGAGCTACAACCCCAGCCCCTAAGTGAAAATTCTTAAGATACAGTGATTTGGCTTTACATTTCCCTCTAGTGCCTGAAAAAGAAAGTGCAGCCAGTTAAAAAACACCCAGCAAAAAACTATGAAAGAATACTTTGCTATACAGAATAGTTTGAGGCATTGATCAGATCTGCTGTTTGCTCTCTTATTTTTGATGGTATTGGGGATTGAACCCAGGGGTGCTTTAACACCAAAATACATACACAGTCCCTTTTAAAATTTCTTGAGACAGGGTCTTACCCAGGTTGGCCTCAAATTTATAATTCTCTTGCCTCTGTCTCTCAAATTGCTGGATTATAGTGTGTGCCACCAAGACTGGCTAACTCTCTCTAAGTGAATTTTTTTTTTTTTAATCATCAGTTTCTTTGTTTTGTGTCATGAGTGTTTGAAATCCATGTCATATAGCAAGTCTTTAGGGGAAAACTGCTTTTTTTTTTTTTTTTGGTGGTACTAGAAATCGAACACAGGGACATCACCACTGAGCCATATCCTCTTTTTAGTTTCTAAGACAAAGTCTCACTAAAATTGTCTAGGCTGGCCTATAACTATTTTTTTTTTAAAGTTGTAGACAGCCACAACACCTTTATCTATCTACCTTATCTGTTTATTTATTTATAAATATTTTTAATTGCAGATAGACAAAAATAAGTCTATCTATCTGTTTATTTTATGTGGTGCTGTGGTTCGATCCCAGTGCCTCACACATGCTAGGCAAATGCTCTACCACTGAGCTACAGCTACAGACCCATTATTTATTTATTCATTTTAATGTAGTGCTGAGGATTGAACCCAGTGCCTTATACATGCTAGGCAAGTGATCTGCCATGGGGCTCCAATCCCAGCCCCTGGCCTAGAACTTTTAATTCTTCTTCGTCAGCATCCCGAGTTAATGAGATTAGCATGTGCTAGCACACCTGACTAAATGCCATTTTAAGTTTTCTCAGCAGTTGGGCACAGTGGCACATGCCTGTAATCCTAGTGATTAGGAGACCGAGGCAGGAGAATTGAAAGTTCTAGGCCAGCTTGGGCAAATTAGTGAGATCCTGTCTCAAAATAAATTTAATAAAGGACTGGGGGTACACCTCAGGGGCAGAGAACTTGCCAAGCATACATGCGGCCTGGGTTCAATTTCCTAGCACTACACAAAAAAAGAAAAAGAAAAAGAAAAAAGTGTTCAGCTTCTTGTTCAGGTTAGATCATTTTAATTTTTTGTTTGTTATTCAGTTATTTGAACACTGTATATATATTTTGATTAGAATGAACTTAAGTGTCAAAGTAGATTTTTTTGGTTTTTGTTTTTTGCCTTATAATAAGTGCCATTTGGGAAATTTTCGAAATTAAGTGCTCAAGAAATAACAGGTTTCAAAATGATCAGTTTAGATCAATGTTATCTAAACTAGCTTTCAGTCTAAACTCTTGATTTTTCTATCTTTGAGAGATTTTTATATTTTAATATCATTTATTGATTATGAAAAATGAGGTTCAATATAGTTTAAGAATAATTAGCCAGGCCAGGTGGCACTAGCCTGTAATCCCAGTGTTTTGGGAGTCTGAGGCAGGAGGATTAAAAGTTTAAAGCCAGCCCCAGCAATTTATCGAGGCCCTAATTAGCTTAGTGAGACCCTGTCTCAAAAGAGAGAGAGAGAGAGAGAGAGAGAGAGAGAGAGAGAAGGAGTAAGAGAGAATTTTAAAATATTTATTTATTTACTTAGTTCTCGGCAGACACAACGTCTTTGTTTGTATGTGGTGCTGAGGATCGAACCCACGCCGCACGCATGCCAGGCTAGCATGCTACCGCTTGAGCCACATCCCCAGCCCCAATACATCTATTTTTTAAAAAATATCTTTTAGTTGTTGATGGACCTTTATTTTATTTATTTATTTATTTATTCAGAGAGAGAGAGAGAATTTTTAAATTTTTTTTTTTTTTTAGTTTTCGGTGGGCACAACATCTATATTTATTTATTTTTTTGTGGTGCTGAGGATCAAATCCAGCGTCCCGCGCATGCCAGGCAAGCGCGCTACCGCTTGAGACACATCCCCAGCCCTATTTTATTTATTTGTATGTGGTGTTGAGAATCGAAACCAGTGCCTCACACATGCTAGCCAAGCACACTACCACTGAGCCACAACCCCAGCCCCCCCTTTATACTCTGTTTTGCCAGAATCTTTTAACTTAGGTTAGAAAAATTAGAGCTGGCTTTAAAACTGGGCTACCATTCACTCCTTTTCTGTCTTCCAAGAAGACTGAGGTTATTGTGTATGAAATATGTAACAACACCCAAGCCCCTTCCACATAAGAAGTGGCTACTAAAATTTAAAGTTCTATTTTTATTATTTTTATGTGCACCTGCTAAGCTTTACCACAGAACCACATACTTAAAAATCCTTGATTTGTTTAAATTATTGAAGTACTTGAGGAGGGCATGTGAAGTGTATATAGGTATTTAACACCTTACAACTGCAAGAAGACTGGGCAAAAATGACAAAGTAGCCAAGTGCGGTTGTACAAGCCTTTAATCCCAGCAGCTCTAAAGGCTGAGACAGGAGCTTTGTAAATTCAAAGCCAGACTTAGCAAAAGTAAGGCGCCAAGCAACTCAGTGAGACCCTGTCTCTAAATGAGATATAAAATAGGGCTGGGAATGTGGCTCAGTGGTTGAGTGCCCCTGAATTCAATAAAACAATTTGGGGGAGGTACACCCCTCCCCCAAATTGTTTTATTAAGGTATGATTTATGTAGATTAATATTCATCCACTTTAAGTGTATATTTGTTTAATTTTGATAACTTTAGGGTCATATAATGGTGCAAAATAGTCCTACCACCCCAGAAAGTACCCTCCACATCCCCAACTCTAGACAATCAGGGATCTGCTTTCTGTTCACTTGTGAAAAACACTTTCTCATTCTGTGGAGATATGGGTCTGGAAAAATAATTGAAATAAGATGTTTCCCTAGATTTGGGAAAATGGTTTTGTTCTTGTTTGAGGATAGTTTTAAAAATTTGACACAGGGTCTCTAAGTTGTCCAGGCTGGCCTGCAACTTGTGATCCTCTGTCATAGCCTCCTTTTTTTTTTTTAAATGAGTCCTATGTACTCCACTACTGCATCTAAGAAAATCTTCTACAGTCTTTATACATTCCATCTCAGCAGTGTTATGCCCATAAGCCTGGCATTAGTAATAAACATTTTGTTGCAAATTCATTTATGTGGTGGCCTGGCAGTTGTTGCTGTGAGTTTTTACTAATTCTAGGATGGAATATGGTTATGGTTCTGATTGTATGAAACCTGCTCAGGGAGTGGTTATCTTTGGTTTAATTGAAGGTAGACGTCTTGTATGTGACACGGTTTGGAGCCAGTTTTGTGTATGTTTTGATATATTTGCATTTTTGCATTTTTGTTTTTAACAGATTATTTGATGTGTTCCTCTCCAACTTGCAGTTACAGACTTTCTCAGTTGCGCTCTTTATTCCTTCATTTCTGCTCTTGGGAAGCAGGACTTTCTGACAGGGAGGACTGATGTGAGTTTTTTTTTTTTGGTGTGGGGGGGTGTATTGGATCACTGAATTGCTTGGCACCTCGCGGTTGCTGAGGCTGGCTTTGAACTTGTGATCTTCCGGCCTCAGCCTCCCGAGCTGCTGGGATTATAGGCGTGCGTTTTAATATGTAAACCTAAATCTGTCTGCTGTTTTGAGGACTAGCAGTTGATGAACCTGGAGGGCAGTAAGAGAGGCCTGGAGGACGCTATTTTTACTATGGATGTTTCTTGATGGCAATTGCTTGGAAGTCTGAGGCACTCTTAGGAGTGAGTGCCTCGGTAATGGTGGGGGATCACTCCTAGTACTTTGGCTAGCAGTGCGTGGGGGAGCAGAAGGGAAAGACATCACCTGGCCCAGCTGTGAAATGCTTGGCTCCCAGCTTTGGGGTGGGGGCGACTAGAGAGAGGGGCAGCGCTAACAAAGAGGAGCTGAGCAGGTACCCGGGCCGCGGGTAGCTGGCCTATCCTGGGCGACTGACCTCCCAGTGGGCCTCCCCAGTTGGCTGCACGGCAAGTCGCTCTGTTGGTTCCCTGGCTCACCATTGGCTATGGGACTGGAGGGGGCTCGCTGAGAGCTGGAATGGAGTTGAGGGGGCGGGGTTGGCTTCCGGCGGCGGAGGGGAGCAAGCAGCAGCCAGCTGGGGGAGGGGGTGTCGGCGCACCGCCGAGTGCTGCGCTCTTTGAGAGCCTGGCACCCGGAGTAGCCGTCTCCCCCTCCCCCTGCTTACCTCTGGAAGCCCCTTCACCTTATCTGGGTAGGGGCGAGCAGGGCTGAGCTGTCCCAGACAGGCGGGCGGAACCTGGAGTCCTTCTGAGTGCTGTGGAACGAACCTCACCTCCTTTCCTGGGTGCAAGGTGTGTGTGTGCGTGCGCGCGCGCGTGTGTGTGTGTGTGTGTGTGTGTGTGTGTGTGTGTGTGTGTGTGTGTGTGTGTGTGTGTATGTGTGTACGCGCGTGCGCGCGCTTTTTTTTTTTTCAACGTGACCCCGAGTTCGGCTGACCTAACCTTGTAAGAAAAGGGTAAATGGAGTGGGAAGTAACATCTCCACATCCGATCAGTATATTTTGGTTTTCCAATTATAATTATAGCCTTCATTCTTGTTTCCTTTCCTTCATCCCCTGTAGCTGGGTAAAGAAATTCAGGACTCATCTTTTGACTGATGTGTCGATATCGGTCGCATAGTAAAATGCACAAATAAAGGGGAGCTTTTTTTTTTGGTGTGTGTGTGTGTGAGAGAGAGAGAGAGAGAGAGAGACAGAGACAGAGAGAGAGACAGAGAGAGAGACAGAGAGACACGGTCAGTCAATTGATGCAGTAAACCGCAAGGAAAACGCAAAAAGCAAGCTAGGAGTGGGTTTTTGCAACTGTGCAGCATCCGTGTTCGTTTAGGCTGTCTTCATCATTTTCCTCTTTGGGATTGCCTTAATCAGCAACAACAATCTGAAAGGGGAGGAGGTCTTAGTAGAAAAAGGGAGCATCCCCTATCAAATGGTGGTTAAAGGAAACTCTGGTAGTTGTTAGCTATTAACTCTGCTCAGGTCTCGTCTCTGGACTACATTGTTGCCGGCTTTGTGTAGTAGGTCAGTTCTGTAGGAGAAACCGAGCTAGAACTGGCAAAGTTACCTTGCTGTTATTGAAACTTAAAGTCTTAAACTGTTTCTCCGCTGGTAAATTTCTTATAGGTTCCCAGGGGGATATTTATCTGAAACCAAAATCAAACCTAAGGAAAAAAATCTAAATAGATTTTAATTCATTCATATACTTTTTAAAGGTTCTTCTCCCTCAACTTTTAAGAAATTGAATGGCTATAACACTACAGTTTAGATATTTCTCTCTTTTGAATTCCTTTGCTTCGGTAAATTATGGATCTTTTCTGGGGGACATGTGTCTCATCCCAGCCAAAAACAAAAACCTCATTATGTTTTAAATTGAGAGGAAAGTTACCAATTGAAGGTTGAATATCCAAAATTTATGATGTTAGAAACAAAGGATATGATGTTCATCTAGTGTGCATGTGTTGGGTGGCAGTGTTTCCTTGTTTTAACTGGGCATTTTCAACTGAAGGTGTTTGGAGCAGGTTTATTTTTATGTTGATTAGCAAAGAGCTACAATGTCAGAAGGGATGAATCTTTCTCTCTCTCTCTCTCTCTCTCTCTCTCTCTCTCTCTGCAATACTGGTAAATATTAATTAAAGTGATTCATAGTTTATTCTTGTAATCTAGGTTCAGTTTCCAAAAGATTTTTTAACCGGAGTCCAGGTTTAAAGTCAGAATTGATAGCACTAGAACTGACTTTATACAGTTTTAGGTAGATGAGTACTTTTTCTTGCCTTGATTTATTGGATCTTAAGTCAGGAGTAATTTGGGGTGAAAGCAAGTTTTATAAAGAATAGGGATTGTGGGACCAAAAAACCATCTCAGGCTTGGTGTGTTGGTGCATGCCCAGCGGCTTGGGAGGCCGAGACAGGAAGATCAAGAGTTCAAAGCCAGCCTTAGCAATTTAGCTAGGCCCTAAACAAGTCCGTGAGACTGTCTCCTTCAGGTTTTTTTTTTTTTTTTCTAAATATTTATTTTTTAGTTTTCAGCGGACACAACATTTTTGTTTGTATGTGGTGCTGAGGATTGAACCTGGGCCACATGCATGCCAGGCGAGCGTGTTACCGCTTGAGTCATATCTCCAGCCCCAGAGACTATCTCTAAATACAATACAAAAAATGGACTGGGAGGGCTGGGGATGTGGCTCAAGCGGTTAGGTGCTCGCCTGGCATGCGTGCGGCCCGGGTTCGATCCTCAGCATCACATACCAACAAAGATGTTGTGTCCGCTGAGAACTAAAAAATAAATATTAAAAATTCTCTCTCACGGGCTGGGGATGTGGCTCAAGCGGTAGCGCGCTCGCCTGGCATGCGTGCGGCCCGGGTTCAATCCTCAGCATCACATACCAACAAAGATGTTGTGTCCGCTGAGAACTAAAAAATAAATATTAAAAATTCTCTCTCACGGGCTGGGGATGTGGCTCAAGCGGTAGCGCGCTCGCCTGGCATGCGTGCGGCCCGGGTTCAATCCTCAGCATCACATACCAACAAAGATGTTGTGTCCGCCGAGAACTAAAAAATAAACATTAAAAAAAATTCTCTCTCTCCTCTCTCACTCTCTCTTAAAAAAAAAAAAAAGGACTGGGAATGTGGCTCAGTGTTTAAGCACCCCTGGGTTCAATCCCTGATGCCAAAAAAACCCCCCCAAAAAACAACAGTTATGGAAATAAACAAACATAGGTATCTATTTATATAAAATCACAAATATAACTTCAAATAGCCTTAGTATGGAATTGTGTAAAAAAAAAAAGTATATTCATAGTAATCTTACGTTGCATTTGGGTTTTTAATTTATTACTCATTTATACTAATGGGCTCCATGAATCATGTTTAAATTGGGAGGGAAAAGATTTCTCAGATGTTGTCTTACCTAACTTATTACTGAGAAGGAACTGTTAAAAATCACTGGTTTAAGCTTTGACAACTAGCTAGTATATAAAGTACACTTTGATGTTGAAGATGTAGCATCTTGGGGAAGTGACCAAAAAAGGACTTGGAAGCTATATAGCATTTCAACTTGTTTCTACCAAACAAACAAGTTACCTTCCTATTTGATATTCTATGTGTTTTATATTTTTCCTCAACCCATAGATAGAGCAATTAATTTATAAAATTATATTATATTTTGCTCATTGTATTTAAAAAAGTTTTTAGTTGGACATAATACCTTTATTTTATTATTTTTAATTTTTTTATTTGTAGATGGACACAATATCTATTTTATTTATTTCTTTTTATGTGGTGCTGAGGATCAAATCCACCTCCTTGAATGTGCTAGGCTCTACAGTTGAGCCAAAACTGCTCACTGTATTTTTTTATCTTTTTTTTTGGGGGGGGGATACTGGGAATCCATCCCAGGGGTGCTCAACCACCAAGCTATATCCCAGTCTTTTTTTATTTTTTATTTTGAGACAGGATCTTGCTAAGTTGCTGAGGGTCTTGCTAAATTGCTGAGGCTAGCCTTGAACTTGTGATCCTCCTGCCTCAGCCTCTGGAGTTGCTGGGTTACAGGTGTATGCCATCACACCTGGCTTTTTTCTGTTTTCTTGACTGATTTGTATAATCAGTATTTTGCACGGTGCAGTAATTAGGTTCTGTGAAGAATTTTACCAAGGAGATAAAAGGCTATATATATCTATTGATAGGTGTATTTACATTGATCTCCTGGTATCCTTTAAGGAGCTTGGAAGCTCTCACATTTAGTCCTTTGCAAGGAAACAATTATCTGAAGCAGTGGCTTATAATTTCTTAGGTTGAAGGACATAGTGCTGCTAAGGTTAAAGTAGCTGATTTAATTTTCTTTAGCAATCTGTTTTTATCCACCCTGTTTATTTCTGTGAGTCACAGAATGTTTTCAGGAACAGGGCCCTATGTTCTCTGTAAAGGGAGACTTCAGCCTAATCCTCCATTCAAATCAGAAGTATAAAATGATCCCCTTGAGAAGATGAAGGAAAATATTGGATTGCTGGTATTGCTTAATTCTCATAATAATCAGTCTGATTGTTGTAAGGTTTGGAATTGGGAAAAGCTTTTTTTGAAGTAAGAAAATATTAGAGGCAAAAAGTGACCTGGTAATGCTGCTCTCAAAGTGGGAAATTTATTTAGATAAAAGAATGCATTCATATGGATATGTAGCTGATGGTGGTTTTTTAGCTTTTCAGCTTTGTCAGTCAGGTGCTATAAACAATATTCCAAGTGTTTTAAACCCTCACACCCCTAGGCTTTTGTGGAAGTTGTTTGTTGTGAGTCTGGATTCTGAGGGCAGAAGGCTTGGTATAGCCTGTAATTTGTTTATCACTCAGATAAGGTCCTGGCATTGATTGCTTCTGAGTTACTTATGTCTTCCTAAAGAATGGTTGCTAGGCAGATTGCATCTCAAATCATTTTAATCCTCCGTAGTTTATAAGTCTACTCTTGGTGAGGGCCAGAGCTGCCTTTTAATGACACTGCCCTTTAAGAGTCCTTGTTGGTTGTGTGTATGTATTGCTCAAAATAAAGGACCATAATGATGTATGGGTTTCACTTCAGCCAAAATAATTTAGCTTTTGGTAATTAGCCAGCATTGTCATTAACTTCTCTTTTGGATCAACTGGCGGGTGAGATTGCTCTCCCAATTTTATGACACTATTGTGTCCCATTATCTTATTTTTTTTATAACTAGTAAGGAATGAACTAATACATTCATTTTGGAAACAGGCTAGTGATAACACTGCCTGTGAGCCTGAATATATGAAAAAATAGGACAAAGTAAACAAATGAGGGCATAAATAATGAATCTTGCAAGTGAGCTCTGGGAGAGCAAGGGAGATTATCCTCAAAGCTGTTCAATCTGGCAGTAAAAGGGGAAAAGATCACTGAATTAATTACCTAGAATGTGTTTGATACTTCCTGCATTATGGGATTGTTACAGCCATTCAAAATAAAGTTACCTCCCACCTGCTTCTCACAGGGAATAAAACCCAGGGACACATAAACACTGAGCTACATTCCCAGCCTTTTAAATTTTTATTAGTATTTTATTTTATTTTTTGCTGCTAGAAATTAAACCCAGGTGTGCTCAACCACTGAGTCACATTCCCAGCCCTATTTAGTGTTTTGAGACTGGATCTCACTGAGTTGCTTAGTGCCTCGATAAATTGCTGATGCTGCTTTGAACTCTTAATCCTCCTGCCTCATCCTCCCCAGCCACTGGGATTACAGGTGTGCGCCACCATGTCAGGTTTACTTTAATTTTTATACTGGGGATTGGACCCAGAGACAT